AAAATGGTCCAGTAATGGAGCTACCATTAATGTTCATACCGATGGCAATACTGACTTTTGGCGCAAGACACACTATGGTTTCGAACGTGACAGTGGTCATTTTTACTATCAATCATTGCCTGGAGATCAATCTTTTACAGCAACCGTGAATATACGAGGAAATTACCATACACTCTACGATCAAGGTGGTTTAATGTTACGTACTGATGAGAAGAATTGGATCAAATGTGGAGTTGAATATGTTGATGATCAACAATTTGCTAGTGCTGTGGTGACTGTCAATGGCTGGTCTGATTGGAATGTAGTATCAATCAAGGCACCTGAAGTTTTAAAATTACGTGTCAGACGTGTAAAGGAAGCTGTACATATTGAATTTGCTGAAGGTGAAGAAGGGGATTTTAAAATGATGAGATTGGCTTATTTACCGGTGACAGACAACTCACAAGTGATGATGGTTGGAATCATGTGTGCATCTCCCGTTGAAGATGCAAAAGGATTTGATATTAGTTTTGAAGGTCTAACTATTGTGAAAAATCCTTAGACAAGTGCAAGTGTACGCGTGTGTTGCCACTACATGTTTCTTTATCCATTCTTTTCGTTCTCACTATCATTCTATTTCAAGAGAACTGTGTTTACTACAGAAACATATGACATATGAATCCAAATTTGGCACTTTCACATACCAGCGTTTTGCTGACAGCTGAATTTGAAAACATAGAACCTTACGAATTGCAGTTTCGTACGGAGTTTAACTGAGTCTCATTTTATGTAGTTTGTTTATTAGATAGAATTACAATAATAAAAAACAGTTGTTTTTATTTATGTTTATTGATGATAAAAGGTACAATTTTTTAAGTGCCATATGAGTAATTTCTGGTAGAATCATCAGAAAGAGGATGGAGGGGGTGCTGGTTTGGGGGTTTTAATGTGATGACCTGTCTAGAAACCGACAAAACAGAAAAATTTTATCTCAACTTTAAAGATTAAGGTAAGACTTTGGAATTCAACCAACTTAAAAAAGTACCAACTATTAGAACTTTTTCAACCGACATTTTTAAAAGTCGAAGAAGACAATAAAACATTGAACCACACATCAACGACACCAGATATCTTTGTATGAATTAACTCTGATTGTGACTCTATCAGAAATGACTCATATGGCACTTAGTAAAAAATTGTGCTTTTTATCATCAATAAACATAAATAAAAACAACTGTTTTTTATATTATATTATAAAATAAATTTATTATTATATCACGTAAAATTCATCTTGCATAAGAGAGCAGAAACAACAATGACTTTTTCCATTGTGTCAGAATCCAGCGATGCAGTTTTCTTCTCTATCACGATTTTACATCTGTTATTTACAACTGCTAAGGATGGAATAATAACAAATCATATTCTTTATCTCTCAAGTATACTCGACTATTGTAATATTTCGTGAGTAAATAATACAAGACGAAATGCTTTTGTCAAACACGATTGGTAATGAGTAATGAAGCATATTTCAACATAGCTTGCCCTCCGTCATTTTGTAGTGTTTTGGAAGAGCTTTTTTCTGATACATAATGTAGACTGCAACCTAACCTCATGCTGAAAAAATAGAATAATTACCGTTGACTGTGCTGAAAAGGTCATGTTTTAACACGGATATTAAAAAAAGTCGGTGTTCACAGTGTACATGACGATTGCGCAATATACAATTTTGTACGTCGCGTAAAGCTCCATCGAATGGTATAAAACTTTCCTTCAAACTTATTTTATTCTAAGGTAAGTACGAAAAATACATAGCAATGCGTTTGCGGAGATATTGTCCAAAGGTAATCGGTTTTTTTACACATATCCACTTTGAAGGAACACCAGGGGTCTAGAACACCAAAAAATCACATGCTATTCCATTCTGGATACCTTTCGAGGAAAGTTGAAATGAGGTCGATTCTCGTTCTTAGTGACCTCGTCTTTTTGGAGTAGTGAAACGGTTTTCCCAAGAACTTATAGAAAACCGACTTTTGACAAATGATTCAAAAATGGTTTTTGCTTACGAAAAGATGGTTTAAAGTTCTGGCTATCGAATGGTGAAAACCGTCAGTCTCTGTCTTTTACCATCTTTGAGTTACTCAAAGAGCAACTACTTGCCTTAAAATAAAGTTCTATTGCACTTTAGCAATGTCAGTTGTGATAGATTATTTTCGTAAAACTTGTTCTTTCGCGTCTAATGCGATCAGTTACGTTTGCGCGTGCTAAATCATCATTTACCCAAGTTAAAGAAGATTCTCTTTATGCACATACGAGGATATTTATAGCCAAGGCTATACACATGTTGAACAATTATTGTAATTAGTTTACACACGAAAGAGAAAAATTCTTTATATAGTTGTATTATTAGTAAACAGTCAGCCGGTATTGAACAGAGAATAATTTTATTATCATTCATTTGGTTTAAACTTAATTATAGAGGAAACAGTAATCAAATCAGTAATCAAACGCTGTGCCCATTGCATGACACTGGAAAGAGAAAGCGACAACAAAAAAAAGTCATCATTTTACATCATTCATTTTACTCTGTGCTCTTCTAAACTACTCTCTAATCGACTGAATCAATATTGTTCTGTTTTCTATGAGAAAGACTGTCACGAAATATGATTAAAGGTACAAATGTAACTTTACCATTCCGATCAGTATTGAATTGAATGATGCCGTTAAAAGAGACTTCTTGACTAATAATCGATATTCAGTTTTTGTTCCAATCAATTAGATACCAGCTCTAATGCTAATATCAATCCTTTCAATGGTGTCAGATGTGTCAACGTGTTTTTGTAGACTTGACTTTTCGTCTTTAACATTTATGTCTGAGTAACTGTCACTCTTACTAAAGGCTTTTCTATTAGCAGTACTATTAGTAAGAGTTACATACCAGGCGTGTAAGGAAAACAAAACGGTGAATAGGATTTACGCGGGAGACGCGCCGCGATGCTGTATCATATCGCGATTAAATGTGATCGACGTGACTATTATTAATTTCTCACAGTGATCGCGCTTGCATCACGGAGTCGTGCCACGATCACTAAGAAGCCGCTACTGTCGTTTCACGATGGCGAATTACATATTTTCGAAAAGTAAGACTTCATCGCTATCGCGCCGCGACGACAACGACTTCTTAGCGATCGCGGAGGGAGAACCGAGTTCGCGACGTAAATGAAACAAGAAAGTGGACTTGGGCAGGATTAATGATCAGACGTTCCCTCGTGTAATTATACTCGAACTGGATTGAAGCACTCACCTGAGGTCTCTAAAAATAGGCGGTTCTTTAGTCAATAGACAAAAGATGTTATACCTCAATCAACTCAATCAAATTTGGTGCATAGAAGATAGTGTGCTAGCTGCGGTGCTCTCTGTATGAGCGAAAACATCAGACAACCGTGCCACCGTATGATGAAAAACGATACTTTCAAAAGTTTGTCGAAAGTAATTCTTGCTCATTCATTCATGGGGATTGCTTATGTGTTTAATTACATGAGGGAACGTCTGATCATTAATCCTGCCCAAGGGCACTTTCTTGTTTCATTTACGTCGCGAACTCGGTTCTCCCTCCGCGATCGCTAAACAGGCGTTGTTATCGCGATGAAGTCTTACTTTTCCAAAATTTGTAATTCGCCATCGTGAAACGACAGTAGCGGCTTCTTAGTGATCGTGGCACGACTCCGTGATGCAAGCGCGATCACTGTAAGAAATTAATAATAGTCACGTCGATCACATTTAATCGCGATATGATACAGCATCGCGGCGCGTCTCCCGCGTAAATCCTATTCACCGTTTTGTTTTCCTTACACGCCTGGTATGTAACTCTTACTAATTTTTGGAAAAATTTTCAAAATTTTATCACATCTTAATGGTAGCTTACGCCATGACTAATATAGTCTTGCATAGCCATTCGTGCGCCATTCGTCTGTGTTCGAGGTAAAAATAGCGTGGCATTTTTTATTAGACGTAGCCTGAGATATGGTTTGAAGTATCTGTGGTAAAATTTTGAGCTTGATCAGACCATTTTTTCGAGGGGTCGGAATGTGACTAGATGAGAACCAGAGTTTTCCAGAAAATCCATAGAAGAACATGTCACAAAATTCTGTGCAAAAATACTTCGATTTTCTTTTTCGATGTTCTATCTCTGTTATAAATTTCACCCCGATTCGATATCCGACATCCGCGTCCCCGGTTTCCTAGAGGGTCAAAAAAGAGGGGATACCCTTAAACGATATGCTTACAAGCCCAGACTCGTGTATTTCAGTCCTTAAAGAATAATGTGCAGTTTAGAAAAGGAAAGAGACAAGTTTTTCTGACTATCTATGTCGAAAAGAGTAAAGATGTTGTTGTAAGATGACATCATTCTGCATTGGCTCAAAATTTTTTTCTAGTATATTTAAGCTCTGATTCGGTTAGAAGTTTACTATTGAAGGAATACAAAATTACAAGCATAAGCCGTACAGAAGCACTAACACTCTGTTTTATAGAGAAACATGTATTCTGCATTCCTGGTAATTTCAAAGAATTTTATGCAGTCAAACTGATTCACGATGAAGTTTGAAAAAGATATGAAATAGTCTCGGCATATGCCCATCCAAATTGTTGATGATTTGTTCAAAAATGCACGATGTCCGTAATCAGACCACTTCAGAACTGCTTCCTGTTCAAAACTTTTTTCTACATAATATTTTTTACCTACACAATGCAACAATTATGCTATTCTTATTCTCGTTTTGTTCTGTCGTGATTATTTTTGAATGGAAGAAGTTTTTGATAAAAAAACAGAGAAAAGTCATTATTAGAATTAGAACTTTTTTATGTAATATTAAACTGCAGGATTGCGAAAGTTAGTAGGAAGAAGAAAAAAGAAGTTAGAGGATAAATATACATATCTAATCTGATAAAAGATCTCTTTTCATCACAGATAATTAAAATACTTATATCAATTTCGAAAGCATGAACGTATCATACTTGATTTTTACTGGATCTGGGTAAGATGGTTCAATTTATTCTACACATAGGTCGTAGTTATTTTCGAAGAAATTCTATTATCATTGTGTCATTAGTCAATACTTATATTTGACTTCATACATGCTGTGAAAGGTAAATTTGTTATAATTAAAAATAAATCGGAACTCTGCTCTGCAAAAAGCATTCAACAGTAGGTGTGAAGATTGTTCATCCAGAATTTTTCCTAGAAAGAATGTCGTTCTAGAGCTTGATAAAACTGTATAGAAAATGAACGTGAAAAAGTCGAAACTTTAGTAAAATATGAAGTGTTCACGAACAGTCTAGAAAAACTAAACAACCATCATGTTTGAAAAGTAGACAAAACTGACTGCGATAATGACGTACGACTTAAGTTTATACTTGAAAATTTTGTCATCGCTACTATGTACTGCGCAGTAAAACGTGGCAAAAATTTCTACAACTATTTCCGTTCGAATCGAGTGGGATTGACTGAAAATCTTAAACTTTGCTTTTAATACCAGCGAACAGGTGATTTATTCAAACAAACTC